ACAGCTTCTGCTCTGCAGGTTTTAAGTAAGTATCTACCTTCTTGGTTCAAAAGCAATACAAAGTAACTTTAAAGTTACAGGAAAATTATGAAGATAAAATTTAAAATTATCTCAGTCATAAAACTACCAAACTAGCAGGTCAGATAAAGAGCAATTTCATCATCCCAGAAAGTGAAGGTTCTATTGGACAACTTTGTTGTGGATTTACAAGGAAGAGCTGACAAGAAAAATGTTGACTGGAAATCTACTCAAACAATTCAATGAAAAATAACTTTCAAATAACAAAGTTTTGTAAATAATGCCTAAACATTCCTTAACATATGTAGGTTTAGCTTTCCTTCAGTTAACACTTTGAACACTGTATCTTTCATTGTCCTTTACTCCCAACTGAATCATGTTTGAATGAATCACATATTAAGTGAATCATTTAATATTTTGCTCTTTGCTTTATACATTTTATACTTTCGTGTTTTTTTTGATTGTTTTTTTTTATTAGTTAGATCATATTTCATGTAAGGTGAATCCAGATTTTAAAATTCAACATTGGAGCACTCATGTTTTCTCATATCTCCATGAAATCTTCATAAGTAGTTTTAAATGGTACATATTATTCCATCAAATGCTGTTTAATGATTGACTTAGGTATTTTCTTAGTATTACATTGTTAAGTGTGCAGGTGTTTTTGTTTTTTGACTTACATTCATAATCGCTGTGATAGCCTTTGCTATTAATTTTGACTCAATAAATAATTTGTTCATAATTCAGACATAATTCAGCTTGGGGGGTGAAGGACAAAGAGAGCCACAGTGTTTTGGAGAAATGTATTTGTGTTAATTGAAGGAAAGCTAAACCTACATAAGCTAACAAATGTTTTAGGCATTATTTACAAATAGTTACTTTTTTATTGAATTATTTAAGTAGATTCTCCAGTCAACACTGTTCTCATTAACTCTTGTAAATCTATGAGAGAGTAGTCCAGTAGAATTTTCACTTTCTGGCATAATGGAAATGTTCTTTATCTGACCTGCCAGTATGGTAGCAATTAGCCACATATAAATAACTGTTGGGCATTTTAGTTGTGGCTAATGCAACTAAGGAGCTGAATTTCTAGTTTAAGTCCAGTTGATTTAAATTTACATTTAAGTAGCTACATGTGGTTAGTGGCTAATTTATTGGGTAATGCAGGTCTGAAATCATGATGACTAAAATACTTTCATAGTGTTCACTCTTTCTTAGTCATTCTTCTGAATGCTTTACATATTAATATGTTTAATCTTTATGGTAACATCATGTACCTCAGGTGGCCTTCTGGTTACTATTGCTATATAACTAACTACCCCAAAACTTAGTGTCTTAAGATAGCAAAAGTCATTTATTTGGCTTAGGGATCTATAGTTTGGGAAGAGGTCATCTTTGGTCCATGCACAATCAACTGGGCTATAGGATTTGCTTCAAAGCTGACTTAGTTACTGGGTGGCATGTTGATACCTGCTAGTGGTCTCCAACCACAGGACAGGTTAGGCTTTCTCATGGTGTGGTGAGGAACAAGGTGAGGAACAAGTGGCTCAAGATACTGGAAGGGGAAAATGTCAGTTTCTTAAGGCTTGGGGTCTGGAACTTGATAGTGCATCACTCCCAACAAATTCCCTTGGCAAAACATAGAATGTGCATTTAAGAGGAGGAGATGTAGATCTCACCTCTCAATGGGAGCAGTATCAAAAAATTCGGGGTCGTGTTTTAAAATCATCATAGATAGGTACAGTCATTTTGATGCCATCTAACAGACAAGCAAACTCAGCACAGAACAGTTAAGCTATTTGCCCCAGATGACTTGCCTAGTGGGTGGGTGAGCTGCTTCTTTGCCTGGCAGTCCAAGCTCTACCCTCAGTGCTCTGTTGCACCCCACTGTAATTTGTATATTTCACAAATTTAGATTCATATTTTACTTTTTCATGGAACAATAATTATAAGAGAAAGTCAATGATACATGTTTATAAGTCACAAAACTCCGGAAACAGGTAGTATGTGTAAAGGTTTGTTGCCAAGTTGAAAATTATTCCCAGCCATCTAGTTCAGGAGGTGCTATTTGTCTCCACTTCTGAACCTTCTGTTTTCATCCTGTTTTTCTTTTCCCCAAAGCTAGTTTGTTACCACCTCTGAATTGAATAAACAGTTATTCTGAATAAAAATCTCAGTTGTCACCTAGTCCTGTTGCATAGAACATGTGTTAGTAAAAGAAGGAAAAAAAAAAAACTTATTTAGCACTGTACTGCCAGGATAGTTGTACATGAACATGATCCCTATGACTTGGGAGACTGAGGCAAGAGGATCACAAGTTTGAGGCTAGCCTGGGAAACTTAGTGAGACTCTATCTTAAAAAATAAAAAGAGCTGGGGTTGTAGCTTAGTGGTAAAGTGATTCAGTCCCCAGTACAAAAAAAAAAAAAAAAAAAAAAAGTGTTTCTGGTTTATAGTGAAGGTGAGGCTTGAGGTTAAACTTTAATTTAGATAACATAGTTGCATATATTTAGGAATATATAGTTATGTGTTGCTTAGTGATGGGGATACACTCTGAGCAATACTTTACTAGGTGATGGTGTACTTACACAAATCTAGATTGTGCAGTCTGTACACACCTGGGCTATATGGTATGGCCTATTGCTCTAGGCTGTAAACTTGTATAACATGTCACTATACTGAATACAGTTGGCAGCTGTCACATAAAGATAAGTATCTGTGCATCCAAACAGAAAAGATCCAGAAAATACTAAGTGAGAGGAATTCTTCAGCTTTCATTGTAACCTTACGGGACCTCTATCAAATATGTGTGTGGTTCACTGTTGACCAAAATGTCATTATGCAGGAACTGTACTACATATACATCATTTTCTTGGGAGAGAAATCAGAAAAAAATTATAGGTTATCTTAAATTCTAGAGGTTGCTTGATAAAATAATGAATGCAGCTTTTTACAAACCTAAGGAACCAGTTCTTTTCTTTCCTGTTCAAAGACAATGACTATTCCTGTGTAATAGAGGTTGCCCTTTGTTCGTTGGCCTCTGGTTTGCAAATTAAGCTTCTGTTTGAAACTGTTTGTTCCTGAGATGAGCTCTCATTTCATACCAGTTATTTGTACCCAATACAATCCTTATAACATTGATTTTTTTTTTTCCTCCCCAAAATGTTCTTGAGAAAGGTTATGATTGAATGTCTCTAGCTTGCTAGTTTCGGGGTTTTGTAAGCTGTGTGTATGACTCTTGGTGATGGAAGGAAGCCTCATTTTCTCACTTCAGAAGCAAGGTATTCTAACTGCTGAGATCTGCCTGACCCCTCACTTCATTTGCTACTTCTTTCCTCATTTTTCCATGACACAATACAGTTTATTTCTGTGTTGTCTGCTCCATCTTAATTGGCCACATCTTATAATTGCATATTCCAGGCTCTCTCTCTCTCTCTTACTTTTTGGAGGCCATGTGGCACCCCCAAAGGCCATGGTTTCTGGCTGCCTCTGGCACATGTCCATGTGGTACTTTGACACATCTAAAAGCAAACTTCTCTTTTTCTCCATACTATGCCCCTTTCACAACTTTCCTGTTCCTGATGCCAGAAGCCAGGTCCCAGTGTTATTTTCTCTCTCCCAGTGACCACGTACTCCTTTCACGACCCTTCTCGCCATCTGCCATGATTTGACCAGATACTGATTTTCTTAGTGCTGTTTATGATGCTTCCCCAAAACTCCAAGATGGCAGGGGCTGAATTTATGTTGTCCATTCCTGTCTATTCCCAGCTCTGGGGTAGGGAAGTCAAATAATGGGCATGCAGTAAATGTTTATTTGGATAAGTGAATGGATACATAAATGTACAGGCGCTTCAAGAGGTTATATGACCCTGGATGGGTTCCTGTGTATGAGTGGCAGCCATAGGTGAATTGGGATTGTTTTAGCCCAAGTTTGGGCTCTTATTCTTTGTGTGCTGCCAGACCCTCCAGGCTGTGTGGCCTGTGGTTTTGGAACTAGATAGATGCTGTCGGGTTTTTTTTGTTGTTGGTACTGGGGATTGAACTCAGGGATGCTCTACTACCAAGCTACACCCCTGCTCTTCTTATTTTGTATTTTGAGACTATAGTGGCACCCCACCACCACCGAAAATCTTAACTAAGCTTCTCCAGAAATCTTCACCATAATTGATTTTAGGACTATCAGCAAAAAAGTCTCTACAAAAGAGTTCAATGCAGGTAAACTTCCTATTTTCCTGTTGCTCTATTTTACTTGGCTACTGGCCTGGAAGAAATCAGCACTCCAGGTGCTGGATGCCCTCTTACTAGTTTTTCACAAACATGTATCCAGTATAGTAGTTTGTAGAAGTGTGTTTGCAAATGCAAAATGTGATTAAAAAAAAAAAAAAGACAAATCCTTTAACAAGGCCTGTGACCTTGGGCTGGAGCTTCACAGAGATGTCTACATTTCTAAGATAAGTTTCCAATAGGGCTCCATGGTAACAGCTGGCAGGGGGAGGAAAAAAAAAGGGGAGAAGAATCTCTTTCCTTCTCAGGTGTTGTCCTTGAAGGATTAACTTGCCCAGAACAGTGAAAGAAAAAGCTGCTTTTATGTGAACTTCTGCAGACTGTGAACTTCTGAGCCCCTCCCCTTACATGCTGGGTATAAAGTTATGAAACTACCTGAACTTGGGGTTCAGGGGATTAATTGATTACAGCAAAAGCTGTACCCTCTGAACCAGGCTGCAGCTAAATAAAATGGTTTCCTGCTATCTTTGGTGTCCTATCTGGTCTGTCCCTACAACAAGACAAGGTCTGTAAGTTACTGAGGTTGGCCTTAAACTTGCAATCCTCCTGCCTCGGCCTCCTAAGTAGCTGGAATCATAGGAGTATACCACTTCACCAGGCTAGAGATACTGATTGAATGTGAACATTTCTTGAGAGTCATTAGAATTTTCTTTTGCCCCAATCCCATGTAATAACAACTGTGCATGTTCTTTTCTGTAGACAATGGTGGCAGCCGCACTTTGCACTCGAGAACAGAGACGACCCCATCGCCTACAAACAATACTGGGAATGGACATCCAGAATACATTGCATATGTGCTTGTCCCTGTCTTCTTCATCATGGGTCTCTTTGGAGTCCTCATCTGTCATTTGCTTAAAAAGAAAGGTTATCGTTGTACTACAGAGGCTGAGCAAGACATCGAAGAGGAAAAGGTTGAAAAGATAGGTAAATAACTTAGGCTCCTTTTACATGTGGGGGAACAGTTTTTAAATAAGCAACCAGTCACATATGCTTCCTGTATTTATGAGGCAATAGCAGCTCATTTGGTGTAATGTAAGTGTATGTTTTGCAGTAATCACACCTCAAGTTTGAAACCTTGTTTTTATTTGCTGAACACCTACTGGGCATTTACCTTCTCTGGCCCTAATGTCTTGAGCAAGTTATGTGTGCTCTGAATATCTGCTATGTTTAATTTTGTCTAAATTAATTTCTAATTTAATTGACATTTTATTTTAATTTAAATGAGGATAAAAGTCTCCAACTTGTCATGTACTTTGAAATTTAGAGAGAAGATGCAGTGGTGATTGACACATAGGGCCACTCAGTGGACGTCACTCCTTGGTGTTATTGTTGACTCAGATTGTAATAAGGATGGTTGGGAAATTGAACAAGTCTCACCATTTTTGTAGTATTACTTCTGCGGGGGGAGTTCTATCTTAAATCTATGCAAATGAAATTTATATTGGTTAAGGAAATGATTATGTGAATAGTGGAGTAAAAGTAGAACTGGTGGTATGAATTCCAGCATGTCTCATCCTTTCCTCGTCATGTGGAGTTGAGGTAGTGTCTGGATAAATCTGAGAGATGCATCTTGTTTCCCCTTGTATTTCTTTCCAGTCATCCTTCAGGGACGTTTCCTGGCTTGGCCCTTGAGGGAAAGTAGATAACTCTCTAAATCCTGTTCAGCCCCTCTGAGAAGTGACATTTGGAGTAGGTCACCCATGGAGCAAATCAGCAGGGCCTGTGGGGGAAGGTTCCTCATTCCTTGCCAGCTTGCTGGACTGTTGGTTTTTCCACCTCCATTGACCTTTGAGGCTGAGGAGGAACACGGTTGCTTGATGAGTCATGTGTATGCTCATGAGCAAACCAAAGCCAAGTGTTTGTCAACAGAAAGCAGAGCCTCCTCCTCTGCTCCTTCACAGCCACCTGCATGTTGGCTTCCCTCGGCTCCTGCATGTCTGTCCCAACATGTGCTTCACACAGAAGCAAAGACAGCCTTGGCATGGAGAAGACACTTCTGGGTAACTGGGTGAGCCTTGTATACCCTGATTTTTTTCTCTGTGAAGTAGGATGGAGTGTTTGAACCTTCCTTCTTTTTTCTTGTCTTGAAATAAATTATACAGATCAGTTTATGAGTGGAGGTTTGATTTTTTTTTCCCCCCCGTCCAAGGACCATCACAGGTATTACTGGTATAGAGTGTTCCAAAGTAAATTAAGTTTGTGGATAAATAACTGTGGCCAAGATCTAGATAATTTGGGACTATATTAGAAAGGATAAGAGAGTTTTATGAACATGGGTGGATAATTATCCAATTTAAAAAATAAATTAATACCCTTAAGCTTGCAGTTAAAATAAAATCTAAGGGAATCTTTTTTTTTTTTTAACTTTTAATGAGGTTTAAGGAAACGATGAGAAAGAAATAATAGCAGTGAGTGTTGGTATAAATGCATTTCTATATTATTGTCTTGGAGAGTGACCTTGATCTTGAGAAGAGATCTAGGGGCAACTGCAATACGTGCTTTTATGCTTTTGTCAGTGAAGTCACAACATGTGACACAGGGAAGTTTGGGGATGAAGGAGGAAAGCTAAATCTTAGCACTGTGCATGAGTGCTTGACCTTTCTGGAAGCTGTTCAGTGAGATGTTAGGCTCTGAGATGAAGGTCTAATTGACCTTTTACTGGGAACCGGTTATAACATGTTCTCTTCTCTTTTTTCTTTCAGAGTTGAATGACAGTTTAAATGAAAATAGTGACACTGTTGGGCGAATTGTCCACTACATCATGAAAAATGAAGGTATGGATATTTTAGTTTTCTAGAACAATTTACTATTTTAGTTTTATTAAAAATCTGCTTGGAAGAGTCAGAATTTGTGTGGACTGTTCTTTAGTTTTATGCCTGAGCTTCCTAATACCTCAGTTTGTAGCCTTACCCAGCCATGGGAGTTTTACTTTTGTGAGTTTTTTGAGTCTCAGTTGGTCTCAGTGTAGCAGATCCAGCCCTGGGGCTAACACCTTATATCAAAGCCTGGCCTCATCACTTCTTGGTTGTGTACAGTTTGGGGAAAGTCATTACCTCATGAAGCCTCAGTTTCCTCCTGCAAAATGAGGGTCATAATAATATTTGCCTCACAGCACTGTTGCACAATAGCAACATGTGAAGTGCTCAGTATAATAAGCACTCCTGTGTTATCTATTTTTTTTTTCCCTTTTCTTGTGTTTTTATTTTTATCAGAGCTTCATAGTTATATATAGTGGGTTGGGTTTATCATGACAAAATCATACATCTTTTCACTTTTTTTGTGCTTTAAAAAATTGTGGTAAAATACACATGACAAAATTTACTATTGTGATCACTTTAAAGTATAGAATTCAGTGTCATTAAGTATTTGACAGTGTTGTACAGCGTCACCACCATCTTTGTCCACAGCTGCTTCATCTTTGTGAACTGAAACTACACGACGTTGAGCAGTCCCTCCCATGCCTCCTCCCCCATCCACTAGCATCCCCTCCTGCATTTGGCTCCATGGATTTGTATTCTCTGTTATCTATTAGGTGTTGAAACTTTTAAAAAGCTTAACCCTTATGGATTTAAGTGTTTGTCCCCTGTGAAATGTATCCTAGACCTTCTTTCACTTAAATGGAAGATTCATTTAATCTTGATTAAATGAAGTAGGATCATTGTTCTGAATGCTGGTTATTATCTCAGAAGGATATCATCCTGTTTTCTGTTGCTATAACTGAAATAGCACAAACTGTGTAATTTATAAGAATAGAGGTTTATTTAGCCCTTACTTCTGGAGGCTGGCAAATCTAAGAGCACGGCACCTGCATCTGCTCAGCATCTGCTCAGTAAGGACCTTCTTGCTCTATCATAATGTGGCAGAAGGCAGAATGTGGCAAGACAGAGTGCTTTCTTTTACAACAAAGCTTCTGCCTCAATAACCCATGAATTCATTAGTCCATGAATGGATTAATCATGTGGCCACACCCAGGCCATAGCAGTTTCTGTCCCTTTAGCAATTCTCAAGGTCTGTAGAAGTGCTTGCCCACTTCCTCCAAAGCTATGGATTTCCATATTGAATACTTTGAGTAGACAATTTAGAAGAAAAACTTTCCCTTGATCTTTGTTCTGGTCATCACTGGCTGACTCATGCAGCAGGCACTGATATAGTTGAGCCATCTGTCTAAAAGTTGAAATACCTTTGTAATCATCAGGAGGTACCTGCCCTTCTGCCTTCAGCCCTTCCCCTGGGGATCTCCCCTCCCCGATATCCTCGATTTTCAGCAAGAGCACTGCATGGCCCAAGCTGCCAGTGTGTTAGACTATTCAACTGTTCTTCACTTAGATTTATATGGTACCATATAAAGCAGCTTTATATGGCTCAGCATAATTTTCATTGCGGTTTTTAGAGTGTGCCGTATGTATTTAAATGATTTAAATCTAGGTGCTTTATGTGTGTAAATCTCATCTAATCCTCAGATCATCCCCCTAAAGTTGATATTTTCATACCCATTTTACAGGTGAAGAAAGAAAGGTTCCAAGGGGTTAAATTAATCAGGTCGTCCTTCTAAAGTTGGTATTTTCATGCCCATTTTACCACTGAAGAAAAGAGAGCTCCAAGGGGTTAAATTCACATGGTTAATGAGCAATACAGCTCTTTCTTCTGGTTCTAAATAGTGTGTCTTCCACCTGTGCATTGTTACATCTCCTTTTAATTTGCAGGTTTTAATTTCTAAGACTGTAAAGATCAGATAAACAAACTGTACTTATGTACGTGTCTTTTAATTTTGGAACTGAGTGTTAGTTTAGGTATCTGTCCCTTGGTGGTGGATCTTTTAGCTGACCAGCTAGGCAAACACAGTTTCTTCACATCCTCATATTGCATTTCAACACGAGATGTGGGGTTTTCCACACTGAGCAATTCTCCAACACTCTGAACTCCAGAGGAGTGTCCTACAATTTAATTTCTGATCAGTTCTGACCCTGTTTTGGAGTTAGCATCAGATCCCCAAGTTAAAGGCTTAGTCCCACAAGATTGCCCAGCTTCAGATACCAATTGCAAGTCCAGAACTCAAGTACTTTTGACTGTAGACTATTAGGGAATTCCCATAACCACCCCCCCACCCGAGGCTTGATAATTTGTAAAATTGGCTTGTAGAACTCAAGGAAATGCTTGATTACATTTACTACCTTATTGTGAAGGGTTTAATTGAGGAACAACCAGGTGGAAGAGATGTGTAGGGCAAGATCCTGGGAACTGGGAAGTGGAGACTGCATGTCCTTTCTGAGCATAGGACCCTTCAGGTACCCCCATGTTTTCAGCAACTGGGAAGCTTCTTAAATCTTATTGTTCAAGAGTTTTTGTAGAGCTTTATCTCCAGTCCCAGAACACCTGATCCCCTACTTCCCAGTGGTTGGGACTGAAAGTGTCAACCTTTCTGACAACTGGCCCCACCCTAAGTCACTCCATTAGTGTAGACTGAGTGTGATCAAGAGGCTCATTATGAATAACACAAGACATTCCTATGGCTCAGGAAATTCCATAGTCAGTGGAGTTGTCTTACAAGTTTGGAAAGTTCTGGGGATTCTATAGCTTTGTTTTCTGGGTAGGCCCGTAAGCTGTCTGCCGGAGTACAAATGGAGAGTTTTATAATTAATTCTCAAATATCCCGAAATATTCACGTGAGGAGAGAGATAGGCTCCTTTATGAAGCTCTTACTGTGACATTCAATTTTTGTCATGGCAGAAGAGATGCCTCCACAAACTAAAGGATCACCAAGAGGGCTCTGCCATGTGCTGTATAAGTAGACTGTGCTCTGAACTTCAGTCAGTCTGCGTCTGTTTGGGTAGAGACCTGGACCTTAAAACAGTAGGAAGGAGAGTGTTAGGGTTTAAAGTACTTGCTCAGACAGTCCTAGGGGGTGGGCAAGTGACTTCTAGCTGTGTGACTGTGGCCAGCTAGTAAGTTTCCATTTCTCTGTATAGTAGAATGGGGATGATAATTCTGTCTGTATTAGGGCCTTGGAAGTATCCAACAGAGTAAGGTCTGTGAGGCTTTTAGGCAGTGACTGGCACATATCAGCCTTGTTAATTTTGGTGATGGTAATAGTAGTTCTTGCTTGGGACTTCTGCCTTGAGTGTCAGGAAAACTTTGAAGAGATAGCAGTAAGGGAGACTACAGGACGCTCTTGCCCGAAAAGGACTCTTTTATGCATATGATAAAGCATGAATTCAGGGGAAAAAGAGGAAGCATTTTCTGGAAAACACCACCCATTTGTTCTCTATGGGTTTTCCTTGCCCATTCTCAAGAAGCCTGTGAAAGGAAGTATAGCTGACAAAATGTTGGCAAGCATAAGAAAACCATCTTTTATGGCTTTATAGGAGTTATGGATAATAAAAGTAGGAGGAGAGATAGTTGGCACTTTTGTTTTTGAGATCATGGTGGAAGTATGTGTGAAAGAGAAAGATCTGTAGCTGCCAGTTTGACCAACTGCAGATTGAAATTGTTCAAAACAACAAAAAAATGTTGCATCTGTACTGAGCATGTACATACTTTTTCTTGTCATTTTTCCTTAAACATATAATTCTGAATAACAACTATTTACATAGTATTTACATTGCATTCAGTATTAAAAGTAATCTAGAGATTATCTTAAGTACTCGAGAATTTGCATAGGCATCTGCCATTTTATATGAGGAGCTTGAGCACCTGAAGATTTTGGTGTCTTCTGGGAGGTCCAAGGACCAATCCTCCCTAGATAACACGGGACAACCGTTTATTCAATAGAACCTATATTATTGTTCTTTTATTATAATTTTACAACCAAATTAAAGTGTGTTTTCAAGTCCTAATGTGATGTGATGTTAGAAAGCCTTCTCATCACAGAAAATCAGAAAGGTTCCCCAGGGACACATTACTGCAGTTTACTCTCTGGTGTAGACTTGGCCGTTAGCCCAGAGATAGAGGGGACTTGCGTGTGTACATGCGTGTAAATGTGTATTCTGTGTTAATCCCATATGCCCACCGTCCTCCCACAGTGTGGATGAGAATGGTGTTTGTGTAGGAACTAGAGTCTGCTTTTAGAAACTTCATTCAGAGCAAACAAAGAGCTGTTTAGTAATTATTTATAAGAGATAAGAATAAGTCACGGGAATTCATAAAAACATGAGAAACAGCAGGCACAAGGGCACATGCCTGTCATCTCAGTGACTCAGGAGGCTGAGGCAGGAGGATCACAAGTTCAAGGTAGCCTCACCAACTTGGTGAGACCCTGTCTGAAAATAAAAATTAAAAGGGCTGAGGATATATCTCAGTGGTGAAGTGCCCCTGGGTTCAATCTCCAGTAGCATACCCCCTACACACAAAAAAGAGAAACAAGTCTACAGAACATAAACTTTGGTAACTATTTTAATACATTTTATCTTCTGGTATCATTTTACAACTTGATGTTTCATTTTATAGGCAGTCATCATTTTATAGGTGAATAATTTCCTCAGGCAACTATTTGAGCTTTGTTTTTAAAAAGCTCATTAGTTTAATTGTTAGTATTAAAGTTATTGCTATCCATGTTTTATATCCTCTGTTGTTGTTTTCCCTTTTTTTTGATTTTATGATTTTGAAGTTTGATAAACTGGCAAATTACTGTGTATTTTAAATATAATCAATTACAAAGTTGTACATGAGACTGTATCCCTGTATTAGTCCATTTTCTGTTGCTATAATTAAATACCTGAAGCTGAGTATTTATTTAAAAGGGAGGTTGATTTAGCTCACAGTTTTGGTCATTGAAAGTCCAAAGTTAGGAAGCCCCATTGATTTGGCCTCTGGTGAGGACCCCTGGGCTGGGTTACAACACAATAGGTGGCATCATGGTGGAAGTATGTGTGAAAGAGAAAGGTCACATGGGAACACAGGAAGCCTGAGAGTGATTTATGAGTTGGGCTCCCTTTTTTATTTGTTCATTTTCAGCACTGGGGATTCAACCCAGGGCCTTATGCAGGTACTCAACCAGCGAGCTACATGCCCAGCTCTCCCCTTGTTTAACCTCCATCCCTCTTTTTTATAACAAACCTCTCTTGAGAACCAGCCAGAGTACCATAAGATCTTTATCAGTTGTTTCTGAGGGCTGTACCCTCAATGACCTCATCAGCTCTTACTAGACCTCACTAAAGGTCCTACCACCTCCCAGGCTGCCATGCTGGGGACCAAACTTCCAACATACAAATCTCTGGGGGGCAAAAGCACATCCAAACCTCAGCAATATCTCAACCCATTATCTGAGAGCAAAGTTAATTTTCCTGCCCCATCTTTATTAGTTAAAAGATACAATGGCTGACAATCTCTCAGTTGCAGTTGAGTAGTTGAATGTTTTACAAAGGGTAAGGTGTCAGCTTGCATTGAAGGAGATTCCATGAATCCATTTTCATTACTTTTGCAATGACAAGGGTCTTTTTTTTTTTTTTCCTAAATCAATTTTGTTTGGAAATGCATTTGGACATCCTCAGGGATAGTTATGAAGGGCAAAGAAAGTATTTCTTTTAACAAAGGATGGTATGTTATGTTAATATTTCTTTAAAAAGAAATCTATGCATTCTCAAGGGTGACAGTAGGCCAAGAGGACCCCTGGGGGATGAAAATTGGATCATGGAGGGAACCCAAAACACAGCACAGATAAGCATTTGGAACATGAAAAGATATGTATCTTTACTTTCATGGAGTATAAATAGGAAAAAATAAATAAGGAAGAAGGCTCCTGGGTGGGGCAAGAAGGAAAACTAGGTTGAGAAATGCTTCCTATAAACCCTTAGCTCTCAACACCTCCAGCAGGAGTGGTTGGAACTGGCCTTAATTGCCCTCCTCTGGGGGTTCATTGGAATGTTAAATGTTGGCATCAGCTCGAATGGTAAATAGTGATTTTTTATTTTTTCCTCTCTAGAGAATTCATTGTGGTTAGTCATGAGAACAGTGCTTTAAAAATCAATGGAAAAGGTTAGGAGGCAGCAAGAGTATTTGGCCTTGCCAATTAAATAGCTGAGAGAAATGCAACATGCACTTCAGCTTTTGGTTCTTGAGAATTTGACCACTCTGCAAGAGGGAAAGGGACATGGGGTGAGGGTGTGAGTGTGGACAGGGGACCCTAGAAGCTGAGATTCAATTTGATTTTGTTGAAAGCCTAGCTTCCCTCCCGCTTACATATTTAGATTTAAAAAATTAACATCAGAAGTCTAATTTGTCAGCCTGTATTTCATATATATGTGTCATATATGATACATATATACGTATTACATATATATGTTGTGATCAATACTAATTTTAAGATATCTGGCCTGACTTAAGGACTTACAGGTCTTGAAGCAGAGCTAAGCCAGTTGACCCACCTGGAAAATTAACCTTCTCCCTTATCCAGAGTCTCAGGAATCAACTATGAACTGAAAGACCTGAATTCCATGTTTTTCCAGCAGCTTTTATGATGTGATAATTCTATGATTGTTCACCCCTTCTACTTTAATTCTTTAATGTTCTTTTTATTCCCTAGCAAATGCTGACGTTTTAAAGGCTATGGTGGCAGATAACAGCTTGGGTGATATTGAAAGGTAAGTCTCCTCCTCCCACGGAATGGGACATTTCCCCAGTTGTTTGCTCAGATGGGATGGCATTGGAAATGCTGTTCTGCTGGAGCAGATTTCCCAAATTTGGTGCTATTGACATCTTGCACCAGCCAATTCTTTGCTGAGGGGTACTGTTGGGTGCATTGTGGGATGTTTAATAGTATCCCTGGCCTCTACTTAGTAGATGCCCTTCTGAACAGCTCCTAACTTCTCCCACAAGGTGTGGCAGCTCCAAATGTCTCCACACATTGCCAGTGTCCCCTGGGGGAGTGTCACCTTGGCCAAGAATTGATGTTATAGAACATTACTGGGAGGAAGGAAGGTCAAGAGACTAAGAGCAGGAACATAGCTTAGGAACTGGTACACCAAATCTTACTTCTACCTCTTATTGGCTACCTGTTCTTGGGCACTCTGAGCTCCACCTATCGTCTGTAAAATGGAGAAAGACCATTGTACTAACTCCATTGGGTTATTATGAGGAATGTGAAGTACCTCGGGCACTGAAAGACCCTTATGAACAGTGATGACTGAATGAACACCGGGTTGGTTCGATGATAATTGTATGTTTTGAATTACTGGTTTTAGGTTATAGTTGTGAAGCTCTATATTCCTTTATAATTAATTGCCAATAGCTGTATTTTATAAAATTTTTCATTTCTCCAGCAAGGAGCCTTTATTGAATGCCCACGGTGTGCTGGGTGCTGTGCTAGAGCAGGACGTGCACAGACCCTTGTCCTGGAGGAGCTGAGTCTGTAGGAATGGAGACAGGTGCATGAGGCCTTGTGGTGCACAGCCTAAGTGGCTGTAGGGGAGGTGAAGACCGGAAGCTCTAGGGACTCTGTGGGGCCAGCAGAAAGTCAGGGAGGTACATGGAAGAGGCGCCATCTGGAGTGGACATTCAAGTGGCAGGGGCTGGTTGCAGGCAGAAAAAAAAAAGTGCAGGAGAAAAGGTGCCAGACATGGAAGTATGGGATGCACCTGGGGATGGTTGGTCTAGGGGACCAAGTTGACACTGTGTTCCTCCAGGAAGGATCTGCTCTGTGTTTTATTTTAACAATTTAAAGTGGATCCCTAAAGAGCACCAGGAAACTTTTGACTGGCTGTACTGTTAAGACTCTCGTGTCACAGTCTGTACTTCAAGAGTGTGCGGCAGGCTAGTTGTCAGCAGCCCATGGATGTTTTTTGCCATCGTAAGGCTTCCATGTGCCCTTGGGGCTCTTGCTGACATCTCAGGTATCAGCTCTGTAGAGGTGCTGCCCTTTCTGTACCCACATTTGCCAGAGGGCTGGTTATTCCTGGTCAGTCTGGCCCTGTCCTGTTCTAATCCCTTCCTTTCTAGGGGCCAGACTTTGACACGTGCCTTTTGAAGGTAGCCAACATCTGGCCTATATACTTCTGCATTTTGTGATTTGACTAGTCTGGCTAAATTTCTTCTAGATTATTAAAGAGGCCTCCACTGTTTCTGAAGCACAATATATAGCATGGTGGGTAAGAGTGTGGTTTCTAAAATTTGACTTTCTCTTCAGATCCACACTTATTTGCTATATGACGTCAGGCCAGTTACTTAGTTTCTCTGAGCCTCAGTGGCCTCATTTTTAAGACATGGAAATTAATAATACATACATTGTAAGGTTTTATAAAGATTAATTGAATTATATAAAAAATTCTTAGAATACGAAGTGTTAGCTATTTTCATGACTTATCGTCACCACCAAACACCTGTTTGAGGCATTACTTTTCATACCTTGACCTAAAAGCTTTCTTCCTTTGATGTAGTAGTCTGATTGGATTGAATAGTCTAGATTAAGTCATCTGAAAATTCAATTGGAATTGAAGTTTTTCTCTTCTCTAGGGCATGTATGTTCCAGGCATCTCTTAGCCGAGTTCCAGGCAGATGTGGCTAAGTGTGAGAAGTTAGTATGGCTGCATGAGGTGGGAGATGCGTGTTTTACAAAGAAGCCTAATGCTGTAAAGTCAAGCAGAGCTTCATTAGCAGAAGCAGTGGTTTATTTCTAGCCAGTTAATTATATTCTAGAAGTGATAAATCACGTTATTATAGTTAGAGATGTGTTGTCCTTACATGGTCGAGGGTCCTGAGTGCCTGTTGCCTAACATTCACAAAGTCCATTTGACAATTGGAAGTTGTGTTTTTTTTCATTCAACCATTTTTTTACATTATAGAGGAGAGATGACTTTTGCTGGCATTTCAGTTAAATCAGTTCTATTTCCTCCTTTTCCTTCCTTCCTTAGTCCAGTGACCCCCAGCACCCCTGGGAGCCCACCTGTGAGTCCTGGGCCCTTGTCACCAGGAGGTACCCCAGGGAAGCATGTCTGCGGCCACCATCTACACACAGTGGGTGGAGCTGTGGAGAGAGATGTGTGTCAGCGGTGTCGGCACAAGCGATGGCACTTCATAAAACCCACCAACAAGTCCAGAGAGAGCCGGCCACGGCGCCAAGGTGAAGTCACTGTCCTCTCTGTTGGCAGGTATGGTCCCTTGTGTCTTTTGGAGGGTCCGGGACATGGTTGCATTTGGGTACAGATTTGTATATAGCTGTAAATGTGGAGTCTGTTCTCCTAAGCCTGGCTCAGATGAGATGTGTGGACTCTTAGAGGTGTTTTGGTCTGAGTTCTGTGTTTCCAACAGCAGAAGAACCCTAAAAGGCAGTTATTGCTAGATCAGATGGGAGATGTATTAATTAAGTTAAATAATTAATTACTCACCTTATAACAGATGGAACTCAGAATCTCAACTATATACAGAGTAGACATTTCTATTTCACGTATGGAATCCAAAGCAGGCAGTTGGGGAGGTGGCTCTTCAACTTGTTGTTCAGAGTCCCAGGCCCCTTCCGCCGTGACTGTGTCAGATCTGTGAACAGGAGAAAGGTCATGGGGGATTGTTCCTGGGGGTATTTAGTGAGAAAGGCCTGGGAGTGCTGCATATCATTGTGGTTCATGTTCCCTGGCCACAAATCACTTGGTTACACATAACTGCTAGGCAGCTGGAAATGTTATACAGTCATGTACCAGGGAGACAGATCAGGTCAAGCATCTGCCACATAAGACCCATATGAATTGTGATGATTGCTTCATTCTTTTTTCTTTCTTCTTTCTTCATCCTGGCGGTCTCAGTCTTAAAGTAGCATTTACTGGTGACCCATATGTGATCGAAAGATCTTGCAGTTTGAGGAACAAATGAGTCTGACTTGACATGAAGCATTTTTGCAGTCTCTGCGGTTTGGGCTCAGGTAGGAAGTGCACTGCTAACAATACACTGCAAAGACAGTTGGAGCCTAGAGGTGAAGATTATATGTGGGAGTCAGGTTGGGAAGCTCTTAGCAAAAGTTGGTAGTAATCCTTCTTTCTCAAATGACAGACCTCTGGGAAGTATAGCCCAAGCCCATTGCTTCTACCTCACTTGAGTCCTGGCACCACTGCTTACAAACTATTAACCTGGTCCTGTGCCTCATGTCCCTCTCTAAAGTGAGAATGACAGCCACACTCATCTCATAGGGTTGCTGTGAAGACTAGACGAGATAACTCAGGTAAAGGTTTCATAACAGTTTTGAGCATGTTGACTATCTTCATTATTATTATTTTTATTTTTATTCAGTTGAGTTTCAGCATGTGTTGCACAAGCCAAGAGGAGAAGACCGAGGGCTGTTTGCCGCAGCAAAACAGTACAACTCATGACCACAGTGTTTTATTAAGAGGCAGAGTCATGGGAATTTATGAATGCAGATGAATGAGAACATGGAGCTTGTTTGAACACAGCTCATTTTATTTGCTTAAAAAAAAAAATCTGCTGAAATTTTCAACTCAGGTTTGACTTGACTTTTTGAAATTTCCCAAACCCAGCTCTCTTGGCTATTGGGTACTATGAGCACTTAATGGTCATAGGCTGTGTTTCAACACATGTTGCTTATGAGTCTTCCCATTTGGCAGAATAGCTTTGTGTTTATAACTTTCCCCTGCTCTTTCTTTCACTTCCTAGAGTCTTCCTCCTCCTCATGGTTGGGGAACACATTTTGGACAAAGAAGGAGAATTTATTTTAGATTGTTTTTGTGGAAATTAAAACCAGAACTAGAAAGAAGCTATTATTGAAAGACTAGGGATTTAATGATAATGCTCTAAAAAACAGTCAAATTAAGTTAATTACTTTAACTTCTCCTTTAATGAAAATCTCTTCTTCAACTTCTTTAATTTTTTCTTTAGGCCTTATTGAAAATTAACTCAAATTTGTTTTTAAAAAACAGAAATAAATCTTCAACCCAACACCAGCTAATACTGATAAAATGCATTATTAGGGTTCTTTTGGCTGTATGTGTGTGTGTGTATAGCACTGACAGGTGTATATTTTTGTGAGATAGTTATCTACTGACCATTCCGGCTATGTCAGTTTAGTTTTTTTTTTTTTAATATTTATTTTTTAGTTGTAGTTGGACACAATACTTTTATTTATTTATTTTTAAGTGGTGCTGAGGATCCAGCCCAGGGCCTCGCATATGCTAGGCGCATGCTCTACTGCTGAGCCACAACCCCAGCCCTATGTCAGTTTAGTTTTAAATCAGTTGTGCTTTTATTAGCCTTCTGTGGTTAAAAAAAGCTGATGATAAAGCTCATGTCATTGTCAGAAACCACAACTGTGAGGCTGTTTAATACTTGAGTACCTGTTTTAATGTAGTTTGCATGCTCTATAAAATAATCAGTGTTGTGTATGATGTGGTTGAATGAATCAGCTGGAAAGTTGGGCAGAGGACTACAGGATTTGCTGCTGGGGAATGCCCCTCTTATTGAATGTTTCTCATTGCTGTTCCAACTTCTGGTTGAGTTTGTTTGGGGTCCTCTGTGTAGACTTTTTTTCTTTCTATATTAGGGATTGGACTTGGGGGCAGTTTACCACTGAACTACATCTGTAGACAGTTTAATTTTAGTTTTTAAATTTTGTGGCAGGGTCTCACTAAATGCTAAGGCAGCCTCAAACCTGTGATCTTCCTGCCTGAGCCTCTCTAGTTGCTGAGGGTGTAGACATGTACCACCATGCCTGTCTAGATAGACTTTTTTTTTTTTTGAGGTGCTGGGAATTGAACCCAGGGCCTCACACTTGTTAGGCAAGCACTTTATCACTGAGCTACAGCCCCAGCCCTAGATAGATAGATGGTTTTTGATTCACTCATGATTTGTACTCAAAGCTCATCAGCTCTTCTCTTTCCGCTTCTAGGTTTAGAGTTACAAAAGTGGAAAATAAGGCAAACCAGAAGGAGCGGAGAAGTTTGATGTCTGTTAGTGGGACGGAGAGCGTCAATGGAGAGGTGCCTGTAACACCTGTGAAGAGAGAGCGAAGTGGCACAGAGTAACAGGTGAGCTGTAGTTTTAGTGACATTGGGGTTAAGGTGATGCATGGTACTGAGAGCCTCCCTTTAGTTTGTGATCACATAGGAATGACATTTGGCAAGGAAATGGGAAACCTTTCCTGAAAGTGGTAAGGCGAAAGGACCCTTTGTATGATTACTTGTCTGCCCAGAGCTTCTTGTAAAAAGGCTGCAAACTTGATAACTCCAGGGACTTGGCCTGCATAGTAATGAGCACAGAAGATTATATACTAGGCAATATGGAGTGGTGGAGACTGTAGCAAACCAGAAATCACATCAGTCATTGGTAGGGCCTGCATTAGACCTAATGTTGCTATATCTTCTTAATTCAACAAAAAGTAAAATCCAGACTTTAAAATGTGAAATTACCACTGGTTTTTAAATGTTGTGGCTTATAAAATTTCCTGTAAAAAAACCCATGCAGGCCAAATGATACATATTCTTGTCATCATTTCTAGGTAAACTGTGTTTTGAAAAAGGCTGGAGTGAACAGATCAATGCTTTTTCCTTGAATTGGAAACCAGTTTTCTTTGATGTGTCACATCAAAGAAAATACCCTCAACAGGAATACTACTCTCAGTACCCTCAGTAGGAACATTACTTTGAATTGCCTTCAGTAGCATTATAATTGTTGCCAACAAATATTTTGAAGAAATTAAAGGGCAAAAATGAATGCTTCTTGGTTTGGCAATTTTAATTTTGGAAGGCACGGCTTTAAAATCGCAAAACCAAACCCTGTGATAACTTGATCCTGGCTTAGCTTTCCTTTTACTCTTTTCTTTCTGTTCTGGCTTGAATTGCATTTTCCCTTTTTATGCTTATTATATGTGAAGGGCAAGGGGTCAGCCATGCTATCAAAGCATCCAAGGAGCTGTCCGAATCTGAACTTGAAGACAGAGTGTTTACAGTGTACAGAGGGAGGGAAGGTGGGGTGGGGGAGGCTTGGCCTTGAAGGAACAGAGAAGAGGCAAAGTTGCATCTGAGCCCTGGAGCCAGGCTGCCAGCCTCAGATCCCAGTTCACTGCTCACTAACCCAGCATTTGGGCAGGGAGCTGCAGCTGTTTCCGCCTCACTGGCAAATGGAAATGACGCTATCTCAAGGGGTGGCAGTGAGATTTCTGGGGACTGACCAGGAAGCCCAGGCTTGGCACACTGGCAGTGCTTGGTGAGTACTGCTGAGTGCTGTGAGTTAGCTCCCTTTGGTGGGTGGTGGGATCAGTGGCATTTGGGTTGAAGTTTCTCCAATAATCTGCCAGGCTCAGAGGAGTAGATGTTCTGGGAGTAATTAAAGAGTTGTGCTCCTGAATCCTCTGGGGCAAAGGGGCTCTGACATCTTTGGCTTTCTCCTGCTGTTCTTTCAGGCTTGCCTTTGGGGAGATCTGCCCTCTTTCCCTAGATTAGGAGCCAAATGGGACCTTATTTGAAGAAAAGAAACAGTTTAGTAAAGTCTGTCTTTGGCCTTGGGGCCAGATACTGGTGACCTTGGGAAGGGAGCCAGGCAGGAGCAGGATGATGTAGTGGATGATAATAGCAGCCAGTGTTAATTCAGTATCCTAGTCTTCTAAACATTGTGCTGGTATATATCTCCTGTGTCTTCACTACAAACATGTCCTAAGGGGGTCCATATTATCATCCCAGTTTTCCAGATGAGGAAACTGATGTACAGAAAGGATAAGTTACATATTGAAAGTCACATAGCTGGAAAGAGAAGTCAAGATTTGAACCTGGGTCTCTGACTATAAAGTCAATTACACCCACCCTTCCATCCACAGAGGGTGCTCATTAAGGGGACTGTTTCCACTGATGATTGAGAACAATGTCTAATATGGTAGCCACCAGTCACCTCTGGGTATTGAAATTTAAATGAATTTATATCAAAAGACTTTACCCTAGTCATATGTCAGGTATTCAATAGCCACAGGCGAGAATCTCCCCTATTGAATAGTACAGAAGTAGAACATTTCCAGCATAAAAGAAAGTCTTATTGAACAAAGAAAGTGGCATCTCTGTATTAGATTTGGATTACTGAGTAACCATGGTAACTTAAGAGAAGTATTTTGATTAAAGTAAAGGAGAACTTGCCTCTCTGGGAAGAGAAGCATCTGGCTATTCAAGTCTAAGGTAGGGAAGGACCAGCAAAGAATGCCTGGGTTTTGATGACAGTGTGTGACAGGTTATCACCTGGATGGCAGGTTAGGCAGATTATGAGATAAAGCTCAGGTTATGAGAATGTGGCTCAGTCTCAGGCAGGAACTATAAGACCCATTAGACCTAGTCCTAAGTAGATTCTGGCTAAGGCTTGGGAAGGTTAAAAGAATTAAGATTGCTCAGGTGGCTTTCTTGGCCCAAATTCTGTCTGTATTTGACTCCAGGAACTTGATCTGATCATCTCAAGTCCTGACCACATGTAACTGGTTTACAATTTGATACTCACTGCAAAGCCAACTGTCATCTAGCAGGATATTGCATTTGATCAGAAGACATGAGTGAATTCAATGTGAACTTCACCGTTTGAAAATTGTACCTAACAGCCCTTACCCCCTTTCTCCTTGAATGTGAAATAAAGATAGAAATTCATGGATTTAAGGCAAGTGCCAAGGGAGTATTTAGACTCTAACTGGCTCTCCTTAAAAGATAGTCACACTTCTTGTGCTATCCCAATCAGCAGAGGCCTAGACGAGAATGCATTCTCTGAGCCTCCAACTTGCTGTAATAACTTTGAAATTAAAAATCTTTAATTATGGAAATTTTCAAGCTCAAAATCAGAGAGAATAATCTTATGAATGCCCATGATCCATGGAGTAAATTAATTGTAACTCAGCTTTTGGAATTTAGTACATGGCTTGTCTTGAAAGGCCATTCTGTGTGTTAATTTCTCAAATGAAGGTCGTAAGCACAGAGGTTAAACAACTTGTTTAGAGTTACCAGTAAGAAAGTGGTAGAATTTAGTCAAACCCAGTCAGCTTGGTTTCAGGAGTCACAGACTTCATTTAACTGGGTCCAGGAAAATCAGGTCCCTGTTCATGTTGGAACCTACTGGGTGACCCTGTGAGACTACCCCAATAGAGTATGAAATAGACTTTGAAAAAGGAAGAAAGCGAATATTCACTGACATTTAAAAGAAATTATATATTTATTAAGATTTTTCTTATATTTCTTATCCAAGGAAGAGTGACTGGAAAGTTTAATTTGACTTGATTTTCCAACTAGAGAAACCTGAAATTTTTCTGACTGGGTCAAAATCTCTGAATTTAGGCCGAATCAGATTTGTACCAGAATTTAACTAATAAAGTAGGAAAGGGGTGTTATGTGACTTTCATATAATTGGATAATAGTTGAATTTTTTTTCCTGAAAGAAGGTTTAGTTCAAATGTGGAATTTTATCTAAGCTATTTTCCTGGAATGCTTTGACTGTAGAATAGGTCCAAATATTCAAATGCAAATGTAGATCCGCCCATTGGTTAGTTTTCCTTTCCCTCCCTCCCTCCATTCCTTCCTTCCTTCCTTTTTTTCCCTTTTTAGGTGGTTTTAATGGAAACTGAACTGAGTACAGTTGGTCCCAGGTATCTGTAGATTCCACATCCATGGGTTCAACTAACTGTGGATCCAGATATTTTTTCTTCTAGTTGAATCTATTCCAAGCACATACACATTTCTTTGTCATCATTCCCTAAACAGTATGGTGTAACAACTATTTAGGTAGCATTTACATTGCATTTGGTATTACAAGTAATCTAGAGATCATTTAAAGTTTACAGGAGGACCCATGTAGGTTACATGCAAATACTGTACCATTTGATGTCAGGCCCTTGAGCATCCATAGATTTTGGTATCTTTGGGTCCTGGGACCAGTTCCCCCATGGATCCCAAGGAATGACTGTGTTCTAAATGGAACTGTGTCAACATTGGGGCAGGATTTCTCTCTCCCCATCTTTCCTTTGCTCTTTTAAAAACAAAATCTGTTGTTTGTTCTCTCCTCCCCCTTATTCTTCTCACCCTGCCTATTTGGCCTGAGTTCTTTTCTGTGGCTAGATCTAACTTATACTCTGCCTGATTTATTTTGGCAATGCGGTTAAAATGGTTTCTTTTTTCCACAGAAAATGTGTTTTGATTTTTTCTTAGAAGAATAAGCTTTTGTTCTTCAAAGTTAAATAAATCGAATTGCTTTCAGTCTCCAAATGCCACTGCCTTGTCTTCATTGTCACTGGTCTTTTGCTTTTTAAAAATGATACTGTAGTAAGCATTCTATATTGCGTGTTTCCCAAGGATGTGTTCCTTTTTCCATTTTATAATTCTAGCTTATTAAGAAGTCCTTTGATAAGTTTACATTACCATTTTAAATTTTTTATTTTTTAATTAATTTTTAAAAATATTTGGCACATTTTAAAGTTGTATTATCGGGGTTTGGTTTCTTTCTTTCTAACTTTTTTTTTGGTATTGAGTTGAGTTTCTTACAAGTCCTGGATGTTCACTGCTTGTCAGATACATTTTGCACATAATTTATAACATTCTGTAGATTGTCTCTTCACTCTACTGATTGTTTACTTTGCTATGAAGACACTTTTATTTGGGAAAGGTTTTTTTTTTCTTTTTTTTCCCTTCAGTTTGTGGCACTAGGGATCTAATGCAGGGCCTTGTGCATACTAGTCAAGTGCTCTACCACTGAGCCACACTCCCAGCCTTGTCTAACTAATGCTTTTCAGCCTCAGGGTCCTCATTTTTAAAACTATGCATATAGTTTTTAAAATCAATCCTTGGCACAGTTAGTACCTACTAAATATTTACTACTATAAAATCCTCATGCCGTTCTTGGTGGTTCTATCTATTTATGAATCTGCTTCTCATACATCAACTTTTGGGACTGTGGATCCCTTCTTAACATTAAGCTTGGATTCTCAGGACATCTCAGGGATAGATAATATCTGGCAAATGCCTTAAGAATGTGCACCATTTTTGCATTTGTGTTACAGAGGCCTTAGATAACTATT